AACTGGGGTTTCAGTCTGGGAAGATTCTTGCTAGAGGTTGTAGCTAATAAACATTGCTGAATTGAATCTATATGGTCTCTTGGAGTTCCTTGGGCTAGGCCTGACAGGAACAGTATTATTGTACAGTATAATACTGCATTAATAGTGTTGTGTAATTAACTTGAACCACTGTGTATTTAACTTGAATTTTCCTACAATAGGCTCCGTTCTTAAATATGGGTCATCTGTAAACTGGCTGTTCTTAACCCGGGGACTACCTGTAAAGCAAAATCAGCAAATGACTGAATTTACATTATGCTTTTGTTTTAATTGTGTTAGATATTTGATGAAATAGGATTATTTGGAAACCAGTTTTGATGTAACTTTTGAAAATAAGTTATTACAACTAAATAATAGAAAATCCTTATCAGTTAATTTTCTATGGAAATATTATAATCCAATTTCATAAAAATGGAGAAAATAAATATGAAAATTCTTACCGTAGTGACATCTAAAGGCAGTATAAAGACTATGAGAAAACAAAGATACCAAGCTAATAGTGTTGCTACAATCACAAGTTTGTGCTGCTTTTTGAAGTCACCATATCGATGTAGTATGATTAATGCCAAAAAGAAGACGACAACTATCTCAATGCCCAAAGCGGCACCACTCATTATTGTCCACTGATTCCAACCAGCATGTATTGGTTTGTAAGAGGATTACAGCTATAATAAAAAAAAGCAAAAAGCAATGATTTAAATACTGTAGTATATGGCTTGCAATAAATGTATAATTTACTGAGTACTACTAGACAGAATACACGTAAAGACAGTACTACATGCCAATAGTAGGTCTCCCTCATACAAAAAGATTGTGTTTAAAGAACTCTGATTTTTCCAAATAAAGGAGGAATTCTGAGCTTCAGTCTCTCAAAGAGCAGCTCATCTGTCACAGAAGAAACTAAAATTTTAAAATAAGAAAGCTCAGTATGGCTCTGCTATTCAGTTGAAAAGGTTAAAAATAAATCCATTTCACTTGCCTACCACATTGGACCCTGATCCATGCCATCAGACTTCACTGTATTTTAATATCCAAAGAGCAAAGGCACTAATCTAAACACTGCTTCAGTTCCTGAGTAAAATCTGTCCCCTTCTACAAATGGCTAATGGTCATGCTGGCTGAGGTTGATGGGAGTAAATCCATATGGAGTTGGGGGAACTTGTGGTTGCTTTAGAGAATACAAGAGAAGGACACGAACAGCTAGACCCTACAACCCCACTTATTTTGAACTGTTTTTCTTCCAGCAGGAGCTATCTAATTACAAAGCTCTGTCACAAGAAAAAAAGCAACTTTAAAGAAGGAGAAAAGAGGCAACTTGGGTGAGGAGAGGGCCACATTTCCTACTTTACTAATCTATAGGGAATCACATGTTAATAGTGTCTGGGGATTAACTGTGCAATGCTTGGGATACTCTCTTTTGTCTTTTAGACCTTCCCCTTTTTTCTGTGCATTTCTAACATTCTTCTCTTTATGGCATCTGTGCGAGGGTCTACGTGCATACGTATCTCTATCCTCACACAGGAGACAGCACTGGAGTTTTTAAAGAAAACATGGTCAATGCTCCTTATAGAAAAGATGCAATATAAACAGATTATAAATGGCTTGCAACCAAGATGTCTGAGGAACCAGTTCCTACTGAGATGAGCCTTCTTTCTTCCTCCCAAGATCATCTGGAATGATTCTTCTGCATAACCCATCAGTTTCAGACTTCTTGACATGAATGCAGAACATGGCCGTCTTTGTTGTTGTGTCAAGGGTTGGGATATCCTGCCACAGAACTCTCTCCTCTATGATGTCCCATTCAAGAACATTTGTTCTAGCAGATCACAGGCCTTTCAAATGATTAGTTTCTGTTCCTGTTTTGTCTCTCTACTCCTACAAGTGAGTTTAGATTGTTGTTTCCTGCTTGTTTTTCTCTTTTTAGCTGTTGTTTTATTGATTTGTGCTATGACTGTTTTGGATGATATTATGTCAGCCACTTTGAGTGAGTCACATTGTGGCAGAAAGGTAGAATATATTTTAAAGAATAAATAAGATCCGGAGTGACTAACTATTAATTTTATCGTTCATTATTTCATCTGCCAACTCTTATTAAGTCATTAGAAATGGATTTCTAACCACAATCACGTAAGCAATACATATCATTGTATTGTCGAAGGCTTTCACGGCCGGCATACAATGGCTGGTGTGGGGCTTTCGGGCTGTGTGGGCGTGGGCTTCAGGAGAAAATTAATAGATAG